AATAGTGTTTAAAATAAAAGTTTATTATTCCTTCACAATATAATGCCTAGAGTTAATAACAATGTATTATTTTATGGGAAATTATTACTGGAGATTTTAAGTGTTCTCACCACAAAAATGGTAAGTACAGAGCATGAAGTAAAGCATACTTTAATCAGCTGAATTCAGCCATTCTACAATGTTTCAAAGCAGGCTGTAACTGATAAATACATACAATTCTTATTGGTCAATTAAAAATAAATTTAAAATAATGACGAGAAAGCAGATATAAATTGGTACAGTGGTGAACACCTGTAACCCTAGGTACTCAGGAGGCTGAGAGGCTCACCTGAGGCAAGAGTTCAAAGCAAGCCGGAGCAATACAGGACTGTCTCAAAATACAATAACACTTTAAAAAGCACTTTTATCTCATAGATTTAATCCTGAATTATTAGGGTTCAAATGGCATAATTTTGGAGACATGTTTTACAATGGAAGAATAAAGGAGTACAGATAAAATAATAATGAGTATAAATTGAAAACTGTTGAAGCTGGATAATAGGTATATGTGGCTTCATTCTCTCTCCTTTTATGTATGTTTAAAATTTCAATAACAAGGAAAATGGCTCAGTGGAATAAGCGCTTCCCTGGCAAGTGCAAGGGTCTGAGTTCAATCTCTGGTTCCACCAAAAATTAAAAAAAAATTTTTTTTTCAATAACAAAAAGTTTTCAAAGTTTTCTGTTGTGCTGGTGGGAAAGAAACTGGTAGGGTAGAAAAAGATTAGCTTTGCTGAACTGTCTAGAAAAATTAGTAAAAAAACCCCTACAAAATAAATGAGTGAAACGCCCTCTGCTGGCATAAATAGGGAAGTGCAGAGACCTATTAGTACCTTTATAAAGACTGAATTACAATTCAAGGTTATCTACAGTGCTTCCTATACCAATTTGTATGTGCATACATGTGTGCGCATTTCTGTTACTAGGGATTGAACATAGGTCTTTGCACTGAGCCTCACTGCCATACTTTTTTTTAAATTTTTAGACAGGGTTTCACTAAGTTGCCCAGTTTGAGCCTGAATTTGTTTTTGTTACTGTCCTGCCTCTACCTGAAAAGTACTGGGATTACAGGCTTGTACAACCATATCTGGCTCCTCTAAACTTCTGTACATGATTTCTCCAAATATTACAGCAATGAATGAGTACAAGGAGACATAATAGAGAAGTAAACTATGTATTTGAATGGACTTTCTTTAAAGATCCACAAGAAAGCTTAACGTTAGCTACTTACAGAAAAGCAAAGTAGTACAACTCTTGTTTGAATTTTTAACCACATTTATTCTTTCATAATCAGAATTTTAAAAATAAAGCCCAACATATGTAGATTTTATTTAAATACTTTAGAAATAAAAATCTCCAATAATACTTTCTTTCTCAAGAAAAAGCGGTCACAAGAGAATAAAAAATAAAGTCACTTTTTAAATCCCAAAGTAGAACAATTTTCACCAGGCCACAAAAAAAATTACTAAGTGGATAAAATGTAGTCACTTGGTATTAAAAAACACAATTATTTCAGAATAAATGATTATATTACCTGGCTACTAACTGTGGAAATTCCTTTGTAATCTGTTTTATTAAATAAACAATAAACCATTCATCTTCAATATTGTCCCCAAACTTTGTCATGCCACATATATGAGCAGGAACACCTCCTAAAAACAAGAGAAAACCAATCATACAATCAGATAAATTTATCACTGTAAATAAAAAAATACATGTAATCATTCCATTACACCTTCACTGATTATCTTCCAAGTACCGTTCTAGGAGCTAGGGTTGCAATTCTGAACAAGATGTAGGAAGCCTGTTCTGGAAGACCTAGTCTCTTTAGTAAGAGACAACCAAGTCACTTCAAGACAGGATGTGAACCCCAGAGTAGTGGTGTGCACTACAGGCTGTGAGACGCAACTGCTTGCAGGAATGGTATCCGAAAGAATGACCCAAGATGGACATTCCAGAAAGAGGAAGCTGTATAAGCAAAGGCATGGAGCTATAATAGACAAGAGTACTCTGGAAATCTCAGGTAGATGGACTTCAAGAAGCAGAAAATTTCAAGCAAGTATGCTATCTACAAATGTATGAAAATTAAACAACACAATTTGTTTGTTCTTATTGTTTTTCCAGTGCGGGGTATTGAATCCAGGCCCTTAACACTGAGCTACGTTCTCAGTTCTTTATTATTTTATTTCAAGAGAGGCTCTTACTAAGTTGCTCTAACTGAGCTCAAACTTAGAATTTTGGGGGCAACTTACTTTACAGGCCCTCTTCTATCTCAACAGAAACTTTTCTTCCTTTCAATAAACTCTTCCTACTCTTAACCTCCATTGTTCCTAGAATTCATTCCTTGATTATAGAGAACACAAACTCGATGTTTCAGACACTTAGCAGTTAAGTTTCTTTCCCTTATATCATTTGGATGATTTCCACCAAGATAACTCAACGGAGGTAAGAGTTTGCTTTTGTTTCATAGATTCTGGATTGTGACTCGCTTAAGGAATCACAATTTTTATGCCTCAAATACTTAGGTCTTTGCCCATTGCTTGTAATTGTCTATGCTTTGTCACTTATGTAATTTTGTTAAACTAATGATAAATTTAAGTTAAAAATGTGAGGTTATGAAGCTTCTTTAATGGGACATTTTATTCCTGTCTTGAATATGTTATATTCGGACTAACTGCTGAACTTACTAGTGTTCCTTTTCTGACTCGTTTGACTGCTGTGAGTTTATCTTAAGACAGCAGCGGTAGAGAAAAGTAGTGTTTTAAGAGTTCCCTAATGGATTCTGACATGAAATACTATAAAATGGTCTTTCTAAGAAATCTATTTATATTTAGAAAGTATACCTGCCTATTAATAAATCATGGGACCCTAACTGCCAAATTAAAAGGCAACAGGCCATCTGGCCTGATCTTCCACTGGTGAGCAATCTTAGCTCTTGAGATTCCCAATCTGATCTTTTCCTGCCACTTCACACTTTCCTTTTTCTTTTGGAAGCATGTCAGATTACAGAGAGAATTCTGAACTGCCCAACCTTTTCCTCTTACCCAACAATTAAGTTAAGGCCATAAAAATGAGTGTTTGCTAACCAAAGAAAGGGAAGTCATCTTAGATGAAGGCCACACACCCCTTCTCTAGGTCAAATGAGACATCGGAATTTTGCCTAGGATAACACACATAAAAGTCATGTCCTGGCTGAGTGTTCTCGGCGACAGTCTCCCCCAAGAGAAGGAACCTGAGACACAGTAAAAAGAAGTGACTTCTGGGTGAGATCAGTTATTTCCAAAGCACCACACTTCAGGGATCAAAACATGTTTAGCCTAAGGGAGGATCTCCAACCTTCTCTCTCACTTCCTACGTCGTTATCATTTATGTGTATAGAAAAATACTTATGATAGTAAGTTGTGGACTTTGAAACTTTCTGTAAACTTACAAAGTGCTACATAATAGACTTTTGTCAGGCTTTTACCTATCCCTTATAATACTTGGACAAACAGTGGTTATTCTGCCAGCCAGTTAAATGCTCTTAGAGCAGCTGCCACTCTGAAAAAAGAGGACAGGTTTCCCCAGCACCTTCTGGTGAATCCCCATTGAAGCCAATGACCAACAGAATGCTGGCCAGATAGGCAGGTGGATTCCCTTCCAGAAACAGGTTTCTGGGTGTGCAGACCAGGAGGAACGGGGAGCAGCTGAGGCATCATGGCCAGGGCTACTCTTTGGAAGACACCCCAAAGTTCCTCAATGGAAACTAGCTTTCAATTGCTAAATTAGATAGCCAGCAGATAAATCTCCATTTATCTATTGTACTTTTCTCTCTCTGCTAATAAGCCAAACCTACAGTGTTCTTGCTTCAGCCTCCTAGAATGTGGGAATTCAGATATGTGTTATCATGCCCACCTTAAACAACACATTGTCAAATAACTGGTAAGTCAAAGAGGAAACAAGGAAAATTAGGACATATTTTGAAACCAATAAAAACGAAAGCATAACATACCAACTCCAGGATTTGTAAAAGTAATACAAAGAGAAGTTTATACTTTTGAAAGATTTCAGATAGGCAACGTAACCTTCTACATCAAGGAACCAGAAAACAAGCCTAAAGCTAGGAAAAGAAAAGAGATAATAATTACAGCAGAGTTAAATGAAATAAAATATAGGAAAAAAGCTCATTTAAAAAAAAAAAACCTGATAAATCATGAATTAGATTAACTACAAATAAAATACTAAATAAATGAAAGGCAGTATTACAACCTATGCCGTGGGGAAAATAAAACATAAGAGAACACTATGAACAGTTGTCTATCAATGAATTAAGAAAACTAAGAAATGGATACATTCCTAAAAATATACAGCCTAAGCTTGGTCTTGAGTACATCACACACACACACACACACACACACACACAACTTTGAACACAAGTATAATTAATAAGGGGATGAAATCAGCAATCAAAACTTCCTAACAAAGAAAAGCTCAGGAATAGACAGATGGTTGCAGTGGAGAATTCCATAAAACATTTTAAAAAGTTAGTATTATGCCTTCTCAAAGCCTACTGGAAATATGAAGAGAAGGGCATACTCCCAAACTCATGCTGAGGACAGCATTACTCTAATTTTATTACCCAAATCAGACAAAATATAAGACAAGAAACCTAAAAACCAATATCCCTGATAAATAGTGAGACCAAAATCCTCAACAGAATACGAGCAATCAAACTTAACAGCACATTAAAAGGATTCTAAGACCAAAAGAGATTTATTCTTATAATGCAAGAATCAACTTACAAAAAAAATCAATCAATGTAAGAAGGTCAAACAAGTACAATACTGAAAGTCTCCAAGAAGCCAGGGTGAGAATGGGAAGAAATGAGAGAAACAGCCCACTGAACTTTTCTCCCTACACAATATAGTACTTCCCAAGTTTCTTCAATTAGAGAAACTACAATTAAAGTATCTATTTTTAATCTACCTTATTCTAGATCTTAATTTAAACCTCCTCCTGAAGCAATGGGGAAATGCTGAAAGTTGATAAGCAGAAGAATAAGATGATTAAATTTGTTTTACAAAGGTAACAGGCAACAATATGAAAAACTGGATGACTAGAAGTAGAGTGATAAGTTGAGAGACTACTGTAGTTGTCTGGATTAAGAGCTGTAAGAGGCTTACATCAAAACCAAACAGTATAGAAAAGGGATCATTATTTCAAAGGTTATCATACCAGGATTTAGTGCCTTATGGAACATGTATGAAATACTAACTGGCTTGGATAACTGATTTTATGGCAATACACTAAAAATAAGAAAACAGGGTAAAAATTATTTTCTACAGCACAGGTAAAATGTACTGTGCTAATGTGACAGTATTCTCGCCAATAAATGTCACAAGTATTCCAGGGAACATGTTCAATAAAATCAGTACCAGAGGGGCCAGCCAGATAGCTCAGCGGATTAAAGCACCTCCTTAGGCAGGCGCAGGGACTGGGGTTCCATCCCCAGCATGCTGAGCCAGCCCCACCCCCGGGGCGCACTGAGCCAGGGATTGAGACTAGGCGTGGTGGTACACGACTGTAATCCCAGTGCTTGGGAGGCTGAAAATAGGATCACTACAAGTTCAATCTGTGTTGTGAGACCTTGTAGACCCTGTACTAAATACATTAAAAAAAAAAAAAAATCAATACCAGAAAATGCATTCAGTAATTGCTAGCCAAAGATGAGATAAGCCTTCAATTATATGGCAGAGCAATCATATCAGAAGAACCCAAGCTCTGGATACTATAAGACCCTACAGAATTTACTGTACAAGCAGAGTCTTGGTCATTATCTATTTTCATAAAGCTAGAAGAAATGATAGGACAGAGTTGCACATTTTGTTAGGGGTCTGGTCCCAAATACCAAAACACAGCAAAGTGAGTGAAGGAACCTCAAAAAGTTTCTGAGTAGCAAAGGCTGATCATAAAATTCAATTATTTCTTTATAAGCGAGGCAAACCCACTCTTACTATGTGAAACAAGACAGCTTACTAAATACATTATCAAGATAAGCATTGAGTAACATCAAAAGGAACTATGATTATGGAAGCCGTATACAAGCATGTTTAGCACAGGTACTTAGGTACACTATGGGATAGTAAGTGAAGTTCAAAATAATAGCCATGAATTTAATGTTTAGTATAAGTTAGTTCCTAAGGTAATGACTACTATAATTTTTAATCAATATGAATCTAACATTAAGTTTAGGGGCTTAACTGAATGTGGGCAGGCATCATTAATCTAAAAAGTTGAAGATACACATTTCTCACAACAATGAATGAACTATTTACTTTTGCCAGGTTTATATTTGAGATTAAAAGGTTGGTTCTGCCAGATATAGGGAGCCAGCATAGGTGCAAATTGGCTCATTATTTTCTCAATATACTTCTCAAGAATCTCTCTGTGTTTTTCTGGGTCCATTGATTCATCTGGTATCAGGAACAGGTGGTACTCCACAGTGTCTTCCACTGCAGCGAGCATGATATTTTCCTCCATTCTTCTTTGAAAACTGTAAGTTAAGTTTCAATAACATAAACCATCAAGAACAATGTACAAATAGCATCCTATTCCCTGAGCTCTTCTAGATGATTCCATTAATGATGTTTTCCAAAACTGTTATCCACATACCATCATCATATGGTTTTTGCCTTGATCATATTACCAACATACAATATTTACTTCATATTTCTTGCTTAATGACATTTTATACTTAAAACTGTACTTTATATTTAAAATTATCTTAAAAGGAAAACTTGATACATGGTTAATGGAAATCCAGTGTCACATTTCCAAATAAGAATAAAATTTTAAATATGGGTGGTGTAATGTGCGCATAGGTAGTCCCAGCTACTCAGGAGGCCAGGTAGACGAGCTAAGGGCCCCACTGAGCAAAAAACATCCTGTCTCTCAAATAAGTAAATGCTTTTGCTCTGACACCAACATTCACTGTTTACTATCAAAGGTCCTGGTTCTGCCATTAATTAGTTACACCATTCTGGGCATTTCACTCTTTCTTCCTGGAGATTTCTCCTTAACTGTTGAATGGAAGTGTTACTCTACCATCTCTAAAATCCCTCCCTGTCTTAAAATTGTTATTGCTCTCCAGAATTTAAATTTCTCCATTTAGGAACATTATATGGCATAGAATTTATTTATTTATTTCACCGGGAATCGAACTCAAGCCCTTGTGCTTGCCAGGCAGGCGCTGTGTCGCTGAGCTATATACCCGGCTCCACAGTAGAATTTAAAACAACAAAATACCCATATCTTATTATTTCACCCCAAAATAATGTGCCCACAGTTCCTGATCCTACAACTGTCCTAAATTTGTACTTTTACTAGACTTTTCAAGTGTCAGGGGATATCCTCTGGTAAACTAAGAGCCGGTAGATAGATGTCTCCTTATTTTCTCATGGTCTTCCTTAAGAACAAGAGTACTAATCTACTACTGCTACCAGGTGAAGCTGGGTACAGGCAGGCACCGCGCAGATGGACACCCTAGCGCGGCGATTCGGATGCTTAAGGTCGGTACTTGGCTTTCTAAGGGGCTAACAAGTTGTCTGCATCTTCCACGCAGACAACATTCATCACTGACTAAACCAGTTTGCCCTTTACTACAGAAGGACAAACAATATTTTATCCACACACTTTAAAACACCAAGTACGCCTTATTATGGGGAATTTACAGCGTCAGAACCGCCCTTGGCTCCCTCAGATTAACCCCTCACTGTACAAATGGGAACACTAAATGCACAGAAAGTGACGGAGCAGCAAAGGGCCTGACGGCGTCTCGTGCTCTTCACTCAACCTGGGCTCCCAGCTTCCGTCCGACAAAACAAATTCCTCTTACAGCTTTAGGTCTTCTCCTGCTTGTGTCCGCCAGGGCTCTTTTCTTGGGTCGCCTGTTTCACTGTGACTCGGGAACTACTACCAGCCGCCCAAATCTGAAGCAGTCTGGCTCTCGACGCGCCCTGGAACTCGAGAGCAACGGAAATCCTGCACAAGGTCTCCTAAAGCGCCAGTGGCCGGAACCTTAGTAGCGGACTCTGCCTGCGCCGCGACGGAACTATTTACCTAGCGCCTAGTGCCTTCGTCACTTCCGTCCTCGCGGGAAAGCTGGGAGGTCGGAGGCCAAGAGAGGTGGGAACCCTGGGGCAGTAGCTGTCGGAGTCTAGGCGACGGGGCGAGACGGGGCCGGTAGGTGGCAGGAGGGGGCCGAGCCGGAGCCGGCGAGACCGCCTGGCCCGGAGGCCCCCATCCTGGCGTACCCGTCCCGGCTCGGGAGGAGGAGGAGGATGATCTCCAGATACACTCGGAAAGCCGTGCCACAGAGCTCGGAGCTGTGAGTGCGCTGCTCAGCCAACCCCAGCACGGGCCGGGGGAGGCTGAGGCGGGCTGCGGGCGCTCCGGGGATCCTCCTGGACCGGTGCTTCTCTCCCTTCTCATTTCTGGGGGAAGGAAATAGTCCTTGTAATTGTCTCCAGCCCGGGCGAACGCTGCCCCCAGTCCCTCTCATTTCCAGCGGAAGGCGTGTCACCCTTACTATGTAGTACTAAGGAAGACCGGACCTCTTCTTGGGAGTTTTAGGAGCTAGGTCTCCTAAGGCATTTGTAGTTCCCTTAGTGCTTCAGGCCTGTCAATAGTCATTGACTACTGGAAAAGTTATTAATACCTGAGTGCTACAATGAAGTTGAATACATCTGATATCAGACACTGTGCAAAACTTTTTTGCATGCATTAGCCTTTTTTAATCCTGTTGGCAAGGAAATCCCGTCGAGAATGTAATTTGCATACTGTACAGGAAAAGACTTCAGATTTAAAGGTTGTAGCCTGCAGCGGTGGTATGCCTAGAATCCTACTTACTCAGGAGGCTAAGCAGGAGGATCACAAGTTCGAGCCCAGCCTGGACAACTCAATAAGTTGGCAAAATCCTGTCTCAAAAAAAAAGGGGGGGGTGACTAGATATGTAGATCAGGGTGAAAGCCCTGGGTTCGGTCCCCACTACCTAAAGGGTACGGGGGAGGGATTGTATTGTGTCAGTGGTCACAGAGCTAGGAGTAGTGGAGCTGAGCGATACAAATTTAGTGTAGATCTAATTAGTCAATAACATCAGGGCTTTAGAATCCAAATCTGCCGGGTGTGGTAATGCATGCGTATAAAAGCAGCATTTGGGAGGCTGAGGTGAAAAGATTGCTGCAAGTTCAAGACCAGCCTGAACTGCATAGTAAGACCCTGTCTCAAAAGGAAAAAAAAAAAAAAAAAAAATCCATTCACTTATTCATTAACTGTACATGGTAATAGAAAGCATATTTTAAGTCACAGTTTCTGGCTAGATTCTTTTCTAATCATGTAACTTTTAAACAAATTACCAAATCTGTTTGCCTTCATATCTGTAACATAAAAGTAAGACCTTATCTAAAACTGTATCTAAAGTGCTGTCATAGGCTTTGACACTTAGTAGGTACTAAGTGATAATTTCTTTGTTCCTTTCCATCTTTACTTGGTAAGATAGACACACAAAGAAAATAAGTCTTAAAGGGCCAGGGATATAGCTCAGTGGCATAAGCACCTGTTTGGCAAGCGTAAGGTTCTGAGTTCTATCCCTGGTACCACCAAAAAAAAAAAAAAAAAAAAGAAAGAAAGAAAGAAAGAAAGAAAAGGAAAAAGAAAAGTCTTAAAATCTCCTGCATGCCTCTAATCCCAGCATTCAGGAGGCTGAGGCAGGAGAATGAGTTTGAGGCAAGCCTAGGCTACAGTGACACCATCTAAAAAACAAAATCCTTTCAAAAGCTTATTTTCTATTAAAGAATAGGATATCTACCCAGGAGCAATTCAAAAAGAAGCTCTTTAGGAATGGAGATAAAGAAACAGTCTTTCCCAATAAATGAGGCTTAGTTTATCATTTGCTTTCATCGTTAATTACACCCATACTCAGTGTTTAAAAAGTCTTGAATAGCTGAGTGTAGTGAAGCATGCACTCAGGAGTATGAAGAATGTTGACAACCATACATTAGATGGGAACTACTCACCAGTGTAGTTATACTACTTGTTCTCGATTCTTAATTTCAAATTTCCTTAAAGATAACTCTCCCAAAAGATGGTGTTCTATCTAGAATTATTCATGATAAAGTGACTAATGAAGATGAAATGCATATAAATGATAATTAAAAGAAATTTTTACTTTAAATTTTATAGTTACTTTGAAGCAATAGTTTCCTTCCTAACAATTATATAAGTAGTGAAGAGAGTTTGAAACAAATGATTTTCAACACATGGTTTAACTTTTTTTTTTAATTGGATACAGGGTTTCATTACATCAGACTCATAGTGATCCTCTTGTCTCTCAGCTTCCCCAGCACTGGGATTATAGGCATGTGCCACCACACCTGGTTTCAGGGCAGCACAGCATACAGTACCAGGGATCAGTACTCGGGTCCTTGCACTTGCCAGGCAGGCACTTAGACTGCTGACCTATCTCCCCAGCCCCAGTTTAATATTTTTAAATACAAAATTTGAAACAAATATATGAAAAATAATATAATGAATCACCCATCACACCACATTCATCATTTGTCAAAGTTTTAATATATTTACCTCACCCATCTTACCCCTTTTTAGTTTTTCTTGGAAATAAGGGAAGCAAAGCCCTATGCACTATCATTTCATATATCTGTATGTGTATGTCGGTATGCATGTCTAAAACTTATGGAAATTTTGTTATGTAATCACAGTGCTATTATCAAATTTAATAATTTGTTATCTAGTTGTTACTTTATAATCAGATTTCCATGACAAGCTAAAAAAGTCTTAAATCTCTATATTGTAACTAGAATCTGTATTTCAGATCCCTATACTTTTGTAAAAACAAGCTCACAGCTCTAGGGTCACTGAATGACATAACCATAGATAGGCCTGCACAAATCCAACCACACCATTAAAGAAAACATTTACATTAAAGGTTCCACTAACTGGTCTTTAGCTCTGTCTTTATATACAAAAATATTAAAATTCTCTAAACTCTGAAGCTATTCATTTCCTCTGAGAGGGGCTGGAGCCAAACTACTTGAATCTCAATCTTGACTCTTACTAATCCTGTGATCATAACCATTTACTTAATTCCTCATGCTTCAGTTTCCTTTCCTGTGAAAGGTATTAGAAATTTAATATATATATATA